GTTCATTCCAAATAATAAACGTCGATGATTTCGTAACGCACATACGCGTGCGAGCGCTGTTCGTTTATAGGTAATGCGAGTCTCGTTAGCCGCGACCGAATGACGTTATGGGGACAGGGGGGGGGACATGGGTACGGGTATGTTTTAGCAAAATTAATCTTCCCCCCCCCCTCCCGATAGATTTCAAGGAAACAATAGTGCACGGACGTGGGGAGATCATGCCGCAACGGATCGTATGGAAAGGAACCGTAAAAATAAAGAATAATTTATGATAGAACTGCAAGAAAAAAATATACGAAAACTCGTTTACGAAACTAGGATCCGATTTCTTGTGACGACGGGCCAACCTGTATTATTTTCGTATTTCGCGTCAATGCATTGCGTGCACGTTACAGGCGACGCATCTGAGAATCCGTTCGTAAACGGTTTTTTTTTTTTTTTTATATTTTCTATAAATTTTTCTTTTCCCCTCCGCGTCGTTCCAGTCTTCGAGCCCTTGCGATGCGATCCAGTGCGATGGCGGCAAAACTGCGTACACGCCTACACACGTGCACGCGGCTAGTCAGTTCAGTCAGGAGCCTTCTGGGCGCACGGGTGGGGGAGAAATAAAAACGATTCGAAAGCCTTCGAGTGCGCGCAATCGCAATATCGCACGAAATGACATAAAACGACTACGCCGTATTATAATAACGTATAAAAACGCGTTTCCGACCAACTGGTTCTTCTTGTCGGGCGCCGGACGGCAGCAGCCGGTTTCGATGGTGATATTACGATATCACGTGAACCGATGATTGCAGAAACGTCATGCAGTCGGCATATCTTGTGAAAATGAAACATTAGTAAAAACGTATACCAGTCAGGTGTTCATGTGCATCGGGTGTGAAAACGTCTTTAGCCTTACGTTTTTTTTTTTTTTATCAGATGGATAAATAATCATAATCAGTTTTCTCACACTAAACGCATAGAAACACGTGCGACTGTAGTATACGTATTTACTAATATCTCAATCTCATAATATATGCGACTCGTGACGTTTCTGCAATCATCGATTCGCAAGCGTTAAAAATATATTTATTTTTTACCAGACATACCCACGGCTGCGGCGATCGGTTTCGATTTCCACGGCGAAGACGAATACGCGAGCAATCGTATTCGGGGAGAGCTTGAAGATCTGAGCTCTACCGTGTGGTTTTCACCCTTTCGAAGCATTGTTACCGGAGAGAAACTTATCACGAACATACGATTTCCGTGTACTAGTACAATATGAGTCTTCCATATACGAAAGTCGTTCTCAACACACGTCTCTGTTCGTTAAAAACATATGTTTAGGGCTTGGGACTGCAGCCCATTCTGTCCGTTCCCATGTTTTATCATGATGCGTCTGTTTAAGGATAAAATGAGAATCTCGCGAATAGAATGATTAGTTTCTTTTACTGCGAAACGTTGTAGTATCGGAGTAAATAGGATTTCAAGGACTGGAAATGGTGAACTACACCGATTTTTTGTTAATAAAAGAGTTGAAGCCAATTTTGTTGGAACACCTCCAAACATTTTTGACATTCCAAAACTTTATTTAAAAAAAAAGAAATATTATTAGTGCTAATTTCAAGCATTACATTTTATTTCTATTACAGAGCTTATAATTTTGACCAACGTTTTCCGAAAAACCATCAACTATGTCTAAAAAAGCCATATCAATAATGTTGGATTTATTTGTTGAACTTTTAATTCGATTTTAGTTGTTGGCCATGAGTAGGGAACGGATTTATATGTAGATGCATATTTTTATTAAAACGAGATATTTAAGAATCTATAAGAAATGTTTATGATTTAAATCATTCCTATTAAAATTATGATACTTTTATTTTACATATTCTTACATATTTTGGTATAATTACATATTTTTACATATTTCACTAATATTTAAATATTTTTAAACATATTTTTATCATTTCATCATTCATACGTCTTCTTCGTACGAAAATACAAGAAATTATTTCAAAATTAGATCCAGAAACTTTTATTGCTATTGGAAAAGCTCAAAATATTATGCAAAATGAAACATTGAAAATAATTTAATTTTAATTAAAAATAATTTAACAAAATTATTAATAAAAAATATGTCCCCAAATGATAGTATTCAAATTGTTGAATCATCGATTAAAACTCGTAAGCGGATGTCGTAAAAAAGAAAATTCATGTTGTTACAGAAAAAAATTCCAGGCAATATTGATTTTAAAACAATCAATGACATAATGAATGGCAGACAACCTTTTAAAAATTTGGAATTATCGCCTTCTGATAGTATGCACTTGAAATATGCTTTTAATACATCGGTTGATGTGAAACGATAATTTAGCCGTTTTAAAAATATTTTGATACCCAATAGGCGACATTTAACATTTGATAATTTACAAGATATTGTAATAATTCAATGCAACAAATCTTTTTGATAATTTAATAATAATAATCACTTTTTTTTTTAAATTTTTTTTCCCCACATATTTGGATGTTTTTAGCACATATTTTATAAATTATACTTACATATATATATGTACATATTTCTGTATTTTTATTACATATAAATCCGTTCCCTAGCCATGAGTTTAAAATTACAATAATTTTATTATTCTTCTTCCTATAAATTTCAACTAATGTCCAACAAGCCCAAGTAGGGTTTGTTAGAACGTTTTTAAAATATTTTGTAAACTTTGCAGCGCTTACTTCATGTGCCTGAAATTTTTTCAAGCACTGTGCTTAAGAATGGTTTTAGTCTTATTTATTTATTTCCAAGTGAACTGCCCGATAGTAAATCTTAATCAAAAGTTGCAATACTTCGTCAAATAAGATGTTAGATAACATAAGTAAAATTTATGATTCATTAAGGAGTTTTTCATTCGATTTTCATAATAATCTTTTCAATAATAATGACACTTAAATCTTAAATAATCTTATAAATTACACTAACGCTAATATATTACATTTTTCTAATTAATCAATGTTAAAATACATCGCTAATAAAACAAACATATTGTCTTTAGGATTTGAATATTGAATTTATTACATTTATTTTACACATATGTAAAAAGTATTTAAGATATTCGATCTTCTTTTTTCATGAATGTTTTTTGTTTTGAATTTTAAGTTTAAGTAGATTTTGCAAGACTAACTAATTTCTTAGGTCACTACCTAATTAATTGAATAAACATAAATTTTGTATTCGAAGCCTGTTCATTTTTACAGACATATAAAATTATTCTATTATGTAATATATTTAAATTACAATATTATATTATATGAGACCTCAACAAAGAAAAGTTTAATAAACACGAAAATTCATAATACTTCATTTACACTCGTATGAAGAAATATAACAAATCAGAAAATCGCGTACAAAACCAATATCTGTAACTATACTATTTTACCTGTTTTGTTTTAATATCTTTTTCTTTTGCGAATTACTCTTTTTGATCTAGATGTTTATGCATTTCGTAACTTAAGTACGGATTATTTATAAATAGATAATGTAGACTAGTATTAATATTAAACCGTCGGAACTAAAAAAAATAAAAAGGAGTAAAAAAAACACGAACTAATTATTTGAAAAGTGTGTACAAACTCTTTTTATTCAAGAGAATTTCATCGATAGTTACATTCGATTAACTTACAACACTAAATTAAATACGTTTTCCATGGTGTATATTATAAATAAGCCTTAAAATAAATTAAAGTAAGGATACGGATAGTAAAAAAAAAAAAATAATAATAATAATAAATAAATAAATAAATACAAAAAAAAATTAATTAAATTAATTAAATGTACATGAAAAAACATACGTGGTTCGGCGTTAATGAACAAAAACATTTTGGAAGACAGACTTTTTTTTGTCATGAAAAATCCTGGGTAAACGATAAAAAAACATATAGATTTCAATGTCGCATTAAAATTAAGATACATATTTTTTGTACTCGTCGTTAAAAAAAGCTCAGTGCTTATCAATAATTTCACATAATGTTTAAAATTTTAAACTAATAAATATATGAATATGAATGTCTTTTTATTACTTCTTAAAATAATTATCTTTTAACCTTACAATATTATGGAACACACAATCATCAATAATTTATAAATAAATATTATTGTTTTTCATTTAGAATACAAAAATCGCAACATCTTAAAATATTTATTTGAAATTCAACGCTTTATTAAATTTTCTTATATTTTTATCTTAAAAAAAGTCTTCCAAAAATATAATATATATTATAAACATACATACATATAATACGCATATGTGTATATATATTTATGATTTTTTTCTTCATTTGAAATACTGTTTTTTTTATACAAATTTATACATATGATTTATTCTAGAAAAAATAAATAAATTTTACAAAAAATTATGAGCGTTGTTTTCTTGCATTATTATTATGATTATAAATACTCCTATACTAAGAAGGTCACACACTATACCCCTATGATAGCTACCTAACTAATCAGTCGAATTTGATATCTTTTTTTTATAATAGTATTATTATCATTATTATTACATTTTAACTCTGATTTCGCCAGTGTTTTACACATACTAAACACTAATTATTGGGATGGAATTTCTACCTGCGACCGTAGAGAGATCTATTTGATGAACACAAAATAAATTATTCAATAATCTTATTCTTATATTTTAAAGGAAAATAATTAGGGAAAGGGGTAAATCGATAAATCAATCGTTTTCAAACTCATAGGCAAGAATAGTTAGCGAGTTCGTGGACCAGAATTTTTTTCGGCTCAAAAGAAAAAATTTAACCCGGAGCCCTATTAACTAAAATTATTTATACCTCTCGGTATTATAAATATTTAGTATACACATACGTTAGCGATAATAAGATAAGAGTAAAAAAATAAAACGCTAAGTAAATAATTGGAATTTTACACAAAAAAAGTTTGTCTATCAAAAATAATACACACATTCGTTTTTAGGGAATTATTTTTTTTCGAACTATGTACAAGAAAAATTAAATAAAACAAAAGTAAAACAAATTATAACAAAAATTGTGATTAAAAATTTAAACTTATAACCTAATACTTTTTATCGATATCAAATGATTACTTAAGTTATTTCAAAGTAAAAAATAAACAATACATATTATTGCTTCTTTGGCATTCAGTGGAATTCGAGAAGTGAGTGTGATGGGTTAGTACCTACATGTGTACAGTGGAAAAGGGATCGAGGTTAGACTGGGTGGAGAGGAAATGCGCGAAATCACGTAGCGCGTGCCGTACGGCTTTATGGCGGTAGAAGGGTTTGGGTCGGCACAGAGATAGGGAAGAAAACAAAAATCAACCCTTATTCCTCGGCGACTTGTTGACTACTGACACGGGTTTTCTTGGTACGGACCGGTGACCACACACGGGTACATCGGGAACAACGTGGTCCACGTGGTAGTCGTCACCGTGGCCGATTTACGTCCGCCCGCGGTTGTCAACAACGCGTTCGCAACAGTGGCGGCGGTGGTGGTCGCGGCGGTGGCCACGGCCGCGCAACTCGTCGACGCAGTGCCCGTTTTGCGCGCCCTCATCTTCTCCTCCCACTCGTCCCAGCCGTGCTTGGACCTGTTCAAATTCCGGTGCTGATAGAACACCAGGCTAATGCGGGTTGGGTGCAACCTGTCGGGTTTCCGAAGCGCCGTGGTGGCGTGCAGTTCCTGTTTGGCCACCTCGAACAGAACGGAACCGTGACTGAGCGCTATGGCCACACCGCCCAACCGAGGGTCCTGCAAAGTTTGCGCACACGACGCACGATGTTACGAACGGCACATTCAACGGTAAAACCATGAGGGTGGACAAACAGCGATACGCGGGCCGAGAAACGCGCGACGACGGTGCGTACCTTAAAACATTCTTCGTTCTCGATGTAATCGGTCACCTCGCCGATCGGATGAACTTTCGGCGCCGCCGCCGCCGCTGCCGCCGCTGCTGTCGTTGGTTCGGGCACGATGGCCGAAGGGAAGTACGGTGTCGGTCCGTATAGATCCCACCTCGGAAGTTGGTACTGGGACATCCCCTGCGAGGCGGAAAAAAAACAAATTAACACGTTACGTACGGGACGTTGCTGAGACCGCGGCCAAACAAATGTTACCGGACTCACCTGGTTGAACAAAGCCGTCGGGCCCGGAGGGTACAGCTGAGACGATTGTGCGTAGGGCAGCGTCTGCGGCGGCACCGACGGCGGAGGAAACCGGTGGTTACCAGTGGCCGCTGTCGTGCTAGCCGAGCGTTGGGAATACGTGGGGGGCTGCTGACCGTAATAATGACTGTACTCCGCTGGGGGAGGGATGACGGCGTTCGACGCCGCCATAGGATTGGACAGGACTTGACTAGATTTATAATAATAACGGTCGTTGTCGACGTTCGCCGGGTCAGTCATCGGTAGTCTCGCAGCTGGTGCTCTGGTCTGGCCGTAGCTGGTCGACTGGCCGTAGTAATCCGACGGATTTTGCAGCGTCGGCGCTGAACTACTACCCTGCAGACATGGTTCTACCGGCTTACCGCCGGGTAAGCCACCCCCGACGGGTGGCCACAGGTTGCGCACGTGATGACGGTCGGACGTCGGGAGGTGAGCCGTCACGTTTGCTTTGGAATTCATTTCCATCACCATGCTCGGAGACATTAAGTTGTCTGTTTGAAAACAAAACAGATATTACAACGTTTAAAACGCACGCTGAATCGTTTTCAACCGATCGGAAATCGATTAACCTACCAAAATTATTCCACGGGCTGTATTGTTGTCCGTTGTAGAAATTGGATGGACTCTGCTCCAGTAAACCTGGTTGATTCCATAGATAATGCATGTTTAACGTTGGGCTGTCCATTACCGTCGAAGATATCTAAACCGAACAACGTGTATGAGTTAGTCATCGCGCAGGGCTAGCAAAACAACTATTGGTATAATGGATTGTTATGAACCTGTGAACTTTGAACTTGGTTGTCACAGTTTTGTTCGGATTGTTGGTTTTTTTGTCTCGTTGGTAGAGGTGTTCTTTTCGGCGATTCGAGTTCTTCGTCTTTACGTTTTTTACGTCGGCACGGTGTCAGTGGTACCGATCTTACCCTCACTTCGCACGGAAATCTAAAATTGCAAGACAAAAATAATTAACTCAATAAAAATACATTTTTAATCGACCATTAACAGTACATACTTGGAAAGCATTTCAACTGAACCGTTCTTAAATTTATCATTTTGAGCTTGTTTATCACCAAATTCGTCCGATTCGTCTACTACGTATAGAGGAAGTACATGGAGCTGTTCGTCATCAGGTTTTTGCATTCCCCGATGTTTGTTCAATGTCACCACCTTAATTTTATTCAGGTATTAATGTAAAACAATTCAAATAACGAACAATTAATCAACTCACCACTGTGCAGCCATTATTCATATTATGAAAGTCACGGTGAGCGTGAGCGCAAAAATCTATACAAGCCGTGACACTCGCAAAAGGACGACCGGGTTTCAATCCTAATCGACAATCTGATCCTTCACGTTCATATTGGATTTGATGGTTGTACGACACCGGAGCTAGTGACTTATATAGCGGTGACAAAGTCGTAGCCAACGTTTGCAGTCTTTCTTCTAACTCTTGTTCCTATTTTAACAGGAACGAAAATTAAACGATTATACATGTTAAATTGTGCACAATAAACGTGATTTGTTATACTATTGGTGTTATTTTCGTGGTAAACCGTAACAAAACTTACCTCAGTCCGTACGGAAAGTCTAAATTTTCGAACATCTTTACTCCTAGCATATTTACAACCGTTGTAGTACATCGACCATGAGCATCCGAATGAAAACGAGGCACCACACGTATCCGGGTCAAGCCCTTGACAAGCGCATGTCCTCGGATCGTTAGTACCACATCGTCTAGTTGTTGGTACTCCGTATCTATTACGTAAGACGAATTTTAATTAATAATTTCAGTTCCTACCGCAAATTATAAACAAAAATATATTACAATTTATTAAAACTTACTTGTTGAGCTTGTGTGATAGCATCGTGTACAAAAAATCGGCCTCGTCAGACAATATACCTTCCCACGCCACGATACAAATCACTATCCAGGAGTGCTGGCATTTATGACCTCGTCTGTTTTTAACGACAAGTAAAAGTTTCTCGTCGGTCGACGAACGTCTTATTACCCATTTTGCCAACGGACAGCCTTGTGCTGTTTTACCCTCTTTTCCTGTGTACAAAACCTACGGAAAAGTAAAAAACAATGATGAGACCAATAATTATTAACGTCCGACAGCAGAACTTTGTCAAATTAGTATCTTATCATGATTACGTACCTTTTCCATCCGTAATCCTTTTCCCTGTATGCCCGACATATTTTCCATATTTTTTCTGAGTTCAATTAAACTGTACGCTGAACCAAGATGTGTGTAAAATGGTCCCGGTTCAGGTGGCGCTTGGTCAACAGGGAAACAATTACAATCAGGAACTGCAGGTTTAGTGTTTGTTTTCAATCTACAAAAAAAAAGTTGATTAACTTTTTAAAATAAAAATTTTAAAAAATCAAAGAAGTTAATAAAACACTTACTTATCATTTGGATTATCAGAACACTGACTATTGTGTAGACAATTTTCTTTTTTAATGTCATCCGGATCGACCACTTCGTCTATCGTTTGCAGTCCATGACAACACCCGCTAGATAAATGTTTTGACGTCGGAGTCTCTGTACCACCCAACCGGCAGCACCATGGACCAGCCACAACATCAATTGGACTAGGACCACCGTTACCACAGAATATATAACCATTTTTTTGACTCACTCTAGGATCGATTCCAAATGGTAACCTGTGCAATCTCACTTCGTGTGGTACTTTAATGAACTCTTCTTTTACATGAGCGATTTTATGAGGTTCTGAAATATTTTGATAATAGTCAAAAAGTTTTTTGTTATATTGTTGTTGTTGTTGTTGTTGTTGTTGATTATGATGATGGTGGTGACGTTGATGGTATTTCGAATGTCGTTCGACTTCCGAATAAAAGCCACCACCCTCAGTAGCTAAGCTCCGAGGATGGTGGCCTTGGACTAAAAAATTATTGCTAATCAAATTTTGTTTCGAATCTGCCAGATATTGTTGATGATCAGATTGACTAAGTGGACTCTTGGCGTCTCCGCTGTCGTCATTTCTTTGCTGACGCTGAAGTGCTTGATGATGTTGCATTATTTGCTGTCGGTGCAAATGTTGTTGGTGCATCTGATGTTGATTATGCGTTTGCTGCATATTTTGATGATGCTGCTGTTGTTGCTGCTGTTGTTGCTGCTGCTGCTGCTGCTGTTGCTGTTGTTGTTGCTGCTGCTGCTGCTGCTGCTGTTGTTGTTGTATTTGCTGTTGCTGTATTTGCTGCTGATGATGCATTTGTTGATGATTATTTTGCTCTGTTGGACTGTGCCTCTGTTCTGTTTGATACTGTTCATTTAGATACTGTTGGTGTTGTGCAGCACTTTGCTGTGCTTGCTGTTGCGCTTGTTGTTTAGCCTGTTGTTGCGCTTGCTGTTGCGCTTGTTGGTGTGCTTGTTGTTGAGATTGTTGCTGCTGAGAATGTTGTTGGTGTATAATTTGCACCTGTTGCTGTTGCTGTTGTTGTTGCTGCTGCATATGTTGATGGTTATTTTGATCACTAGAACCATGTTCCTTTTGTTGATACTGATCGTTTAAATACTGTTGATGTTGGGATTGTTGTGCTTGTTGTTGATCTTGTGGTCTGTCTTGTAAATATTGTTGCTGTTGATACTGTTGTTTATTAAGTATCATCGATTTTATTCGATTATTTATGTTGCTTTTATCAGATACTGGAGTTGATGTATCATATTGGTTATTTGACTGGCCCCATACGCCAGTTGCAGGAGAGTCTGACACTCGACTTCTCTCCTCCCCTACGGAATTTCCATCATTTTTACCTGGGTACCTATAACAGGGAAAGAACAATCAGCATATTTTTTTCCCATAATATTTTTTAATAAATAATTTAATAATGATGAGAAAATTGATAGTTAAATGAATTGCAATGCAAAATATATAGTAGTTAATTAATTATGTTGCAATAATTCTATAATTTCAAAAAAAGATCATGCAACCCTAAACGATATGACAAATAATGAAGACTATTTTACACTTAAACTTATTAAAATCAAATGTGAAAAATCATGAATTCTTACCCATTAGAGTTGTGTAAACTCTGTTGCGATTGGGGAGGTTGTTGAGGTGGGTACCCAGGTATCGCGTTTCCCGCACCGGGTTGACTGAAACTGTTGTTAACTACCTTGACTGACGTGTCGTTGGACGAATCCATGGTCTGCGAAGGTGACTGTTCTTGTACCTGCGCATTTATATAATTATGGTTTTACATAAACGGACGTCGTTGCAAAATACTAAAATGAAAGCACATACGGTCTGTGAAATGTGATTGTAATTCGGCGTTCCGTTGACGAAATCAGTTCTACCAGAAGATTCCAAGTACTCCACGTTACCGTTGATAGTGGGCGCGACGTTTGGCACACCGTTTATTAACGAGCTAGTGGTAACTTGAGTTGGTTGCTGAGCAAAACCATTACTGACTTGAATGAATCCGGTTGTCGGTGTTTGGGCCGCGCTCACCGTTTGATAGCCCGGTTGATTGTAAACATTTGGTGGTGCATGAGTGGAATAATGCAGAGTATTTGCAGGCGAATGGTATCGTATATCTTCTAATTGAATTTGTTGGCCAACGTATTGTGGTTGGGGTGATTGAGTGACAGCCGTCCAACCTGCCAAAAGAATAAAATAAAATCAATGAAACAAATTTCATGTGATCGATTTACAATATGTGTTTCGATACTAGTATGAGATTTTTTTTTTCTAAATCAATTTATATAAAAAGAAATATATGTGAAAGTATATAGTTTTACGAACCCAATGCGTTTCCGTCAGTCGAATGCCACACGGTGGCTGGCGTTCCGAATCGGTTATCTCTAAATCCAATTCCGTTCGGATCGGATTCCATAATGCTAACTGCCTGATTACCGTAGAACCCGGTTCCGTTGCCAGACGTGGTTAACACCGTCCCGGAAAGCTGAAATCGAAAGAGAAATACGGTTGTGAATCCAACCAAACATTGTGGTACAAGGATTGCATATCGTATAATATAAAGTTTATGATAGGCGTACGGAGTTATGATGAGATTCAGTCATTACCACTGGTGATCCGGGAGCCCCGTTCAGCGGAGTCGATGGTCCGGGGGACTGTTGTTGAGAAACTGAATTCCCGGTTATCGATCGATTGCCCTTGTTCCTGTAGGCCTGTAACAGATGTATTTAAAATAAAAATTCCGAAGAAATACCGCGCGCGCCAATCCTACTGTAGCATGTACCCCACGGCTAAACGTAAACAGAACGATATAGTAAGGAACGAAATAAGAAATAAGAAAACATTAAATGGTCGTTTTAGTTTAATAATAGAAAGAATCACACTGGTGGGCGTGCGGATGATACTTTTGAACCGGCGCCAAGTAACGACGACGAGCTTCTTATGTGTTAGGGTGGTATGTATGTACGGTCGTTTTCTTCCCTCTCCCTCTGTCGACTTCCACAATGCTTTATGTACATATGCATGTATATACGTATGATTTATACTACTACTACTACTACTACTACTACTACTACTACTACTATTACTACTACCATTACTGTAGCGAACTATTACGCATCTACTGCTGCTGTGCCACAGCTGGATGCTGTGAGAATCGTGGAAAATGCGCTCGAGGGATTTTATACCCGACCTTCCGCAATCGTTCTTCGAATATACACACTTGTTACGCGCAACTTTCACAGCGCACACACGAGCGGTGCAACACGAAAAACGCCGTGGGGTGATAAAATAACACGGGGAGGAGGGAGGGATGGCATCTACGACTTTGAGCGTATTGTTGTTTTCGAAACCGAAAAGATCTATTATTTACGCAGTATCGGTAATGGTAGCAATAATTCTGCAAATGTTCAAGATTTATGAATGAAACGTTGTCTCCCGTCACAATACCCATTTTCTTTGTCTCGTTGTTCGAATTTAAACGTTGTATTTTACGCACGCGACGATAACGTCTACGAAAATCGGTTGATCATCGCGTAACACTCACTGCGTATTGTGTTTCAGTAGTATAAGCGTATCATTTAACGAGATAATACGTTTTAGTTTTAACGGCGTTTTCACAACTATTTCAAATATCTCAAAAAACAATTAGCGATGACGAAAAATAACCGATACGCGTCCTTTAAATGCTCACACATAAATTACTCAATTGCACTGTTACACATAGTACTTAACATATCAGTGATTTACATAATCATAGTATTGTTGTATAATAACCCAATTCGTTCTGTATAACAATATATTATGATGTCTGTTCGTATTCTCCAGGTTAACCAACAAAAATGTTTCGATAAAATACTAGAGCGCAATGAAGTTAATATTATTTACCAATCTCGGAACAACAAAATCGACGGTGATTAATGAATGTAATAAATTAATAGTGTTATACGAAAATACGATAAAACATAATATGAATTCGATTACGTTAGTGTAAAATAAATACGTTAATTTATAACACAAGATTATGTTTAAATTGAACATAATTATAATATAAAAACCGTACAATTCCGTTAACAGCGTTATGACACGCATCTCTATCGTACGTATATAAAGCTATATATTAAGTGTATTGAATCGATATTTAAACTATTATAGTAGTACCGTACAATACCGCTCTGAGGAACGGTATTAAATGAACGTATGAATTACGGGTTCCCCGGTAACTTTGTCCGATTCGAATATAGTAACACGAATAATTAATAAGAATATTATGTTAAAAGACAGAAGACGTTTCGTGGAAACCAAATAAAAAACCGAACTCAGGGCCTCTGACCTCGAAGGCGAACAGCGTTATAAATATATTTAATAGTAATATCAGTTTAACCGTGTGCGAAGGCGCTGTCTCGGAAGTATTTTTATTTTCGAATATCAACATGGACGTCGACACGTACAGCGTAATAATAATACATAGTTACAAAATAACGTAGTCAACCGTCGATCGGTATACGTGCGGTCGCGGTTTACGTCTGTACATTAACGCGCGCATTTCCCGAGTACGACTGCACATTTGCATATTTGTGTGCGTGTGTGTGTGTGTGTTTGTAAGTTGTGGGCACGTAGAAACGTACGGCTTGCGCGATAGGCCGTCGCCCTAAATTACCATGAAACGTCGACGTACAAAACGATCGACAGCGGTCACAACAACGCTGATTCGATGCCTACAGACTGCGTTGAAACAGTTTTCGACGAAATAATACAGTATTACAACGCGTACAACACCATTTATTTCGACGAGTGCGCAACTCGGTTTCGAGTAAACGTTCCGCTTCGACGACCTCGTACGCTCGGGTGCCGTCTTCGAGGTCCGAATCGCCGGCGTGCCGAACCGTTTGCTATCGTTATTACGTCCGTATTAGCATTTTGGAAGAAGAAGAAGAAGAAGAAAAAGCGATCGAAATACGACCGCCGCCGCAGCAGCGATCAGCGGAGGGTTTTCTCGAAACGTCGAATGTCGGTTTAACGCGGAAGGACGAGAAGGCGCGGGAAAGGAAGTGCCGTCGCCGCCGGTACAACGCAAGTCGTCTCACCGGGTGTGCAAAGGTCTCGTGGGCCCTGGAGCGGTGGTCGCGTCCGTCACGGCAGATGGTACTCGGTTCCGGTGCCGGGTACTCAACACAGCCCGACGACGGTGGTCGCGGCCGCAGCGGTAATGGTGGTGACGGTGTCCGTGGCGGAAACGGTTGCGACTGCGGCGATGGCGCTTCGTGCCGCCGGGATCACGTTGACGGTGTCGGGTCGACGTGCCGGCATGGCGTACCGCGCGACAAACGTCCGACGACCGTGTGTCCACCAACCGTTCTCGTGCGCCGCGCGATGATACGCGGCCGTAGCGGTCCGACAACGGGACGGTAACGATTTCACGCGACGCGTATAAACCGTGTTCGGACGACGGAGAGAGCACAGTCGATATCGGCGGAG